ATTATGGGGATGTGAAAGTAGAGAATAAAAGATATAAAAGTATATGAAAGGCGTTTATAGAAGAAAAGTATAGAATTTGACCTTTTGTTTTGTTCTTCTGAATGAGCAGTCTTGCTAATGACTGGGTGACTCGTCAGCCATCATGAGAACGGTGTATATTCATTTTCAAAAGTTTATCTTGATTTTCTCAATATTTCACACGTGCCCTTTATTGATTGGTAGGAATTTATGTGTTTGGAGAAGGAAGAGGTCTTATAGAGRGTAATAATATTCACGGTAAGTTAGTTCTGAAATTTGTCTTGTCATGAAATAAAAAGAACCATTGAAAGAACCAGCAAGTCAAAAACTGGTCAGAGGGGAGGCTAACATGGTCAAGGTAAAAATATATTATCATATGGGACTCGATTTACAAGAGAGGGGTGGGGCGGGTACCCACCACCTCTGAAATTATATCCTTTGTCCTCAAATATCTCCAAAACTAAAATTGAAATCACAAAAATGAATGTATTGTCTGTTTACATGTATGCTAAATAACGTGTTTGTGTATAGAGATAGTAGAGAGTTATAGATTTTTCGTTCACGGCAAACGTGAAACGTCAGTTAACCAGTAAAAAATTCTTTTAAATTACTGAAAAAGAATCGCAAAAAAGTCCAAGTAGTAGAAAAACAAAAGAGTATTTGCGCTTGGTGAGAAGGTTTGTAAAAGGTAAAGTAAAATACAGGAAAACTATGAAAACGTGCTCACGTTTGCCGTTTGCGGGGAGAAAAAAAGTCAATCTAAAACTCTCTAGTCTTTACAGTCACCAAGTATTGAACATTTCAACAGGACTCTGGGAGGGGTGGGGTGGGGGCGGAGGTATTTGGCATACCCACCATGCATCTAAATCAATAAGATCATGTCCCTATTTTGAACCATATCGTTGTTGAACTTGCTTCTAATATCTATATCTCCTTTTCATAGATAATGCTCTGGCTGGTATCCAAATTCGAACCAAGAGTAACCCAATCGTTCGATGTAATAGAATACACAGTGGTTTACATGGAGGAATATATATCGTAAGTAGTGAAAAACTTTAATAGTGACAAGAGATCGACCTATGAGATCACAGGAAGCCCAAGCTCTGTTTTTGACAGGCTTCCTTACACTCTCGACTCCAGCGTACGAAAACGTCATCATGTTGAGGTCTATAGCCATTGCAAGAATAAGGAAAAAGCTAAGTATACTTGGCATTGCAGTGCATTTTGGGGTAGTTCTAGGGGGCGAAAGAGACTCCGTTTTGGAAATATGTCCCTTGAGACAGCCCCAAAATACACTCAATGCCAAGCCGACCCAGGTTTTTTCCTCAACCTTGCTAATAGAACATATTAGAGTTACACTTTATTGCCTTCAAACAATCGTTGCATTTTAGACGGTTTTTTTGTATTGACCCCAATGCCTCGATTTGAAACAATTGTTTTAAGGCCAGAGAGTTTTTATCGAGTGTCTGTTCTTTTTTTTTATTGCAGCATGAGGGTGGCCAGGGTTTGATAGAAGAAAATGAAATCTTTAGTAACACATTAGCGGGAGTTTGGATCACGACAGGTAAGGAAAATAATATCTAACTCGAAAAGGAATAAATATGAACTAAAAAAGCAAAACGTGTTACACCTTATTGAAAATGCCCCCTTCCTCCCCTCCCATTTTTTGACTGTAGTAAACAGACCTCAAGCCTGTAAGAACATGCGTAATAGGGAATTACGAGCCTTGTATTTACCATTACGCATGTTCTTATATGATTTCCGAGCCCATCCCACACGGCTTACCGCCTCATCTCTCAGACCTCAAGCTTGGGTTAATATTGTTCTCATTTCATGCCACGTTTACGTTTTGCGAGTCAGTAGTTTGACGGTTGGTGCGCATTTAAGCTCTCGTACGTGCACAGTGCACTTCAGCCTGTTTATGTGCAATTCTTTTAAAGAAAATACATTTTCAGCACTTGTGACCAGATACCAGTGTCACTTTAGTGAAAATATGTAACGATATTTTTGTATTTTGCAGGGAGTTCTCCAACGCTCAGATACAACCGAATACACAGCGGAAAACAGGTTTGACGACTTTTTTTCTTTTTTCTTTTAAGGCAAACTTAACTCCATGGGGGACATCAAGGAATTAATATAAAATATATCCATGTAGTACCATATAGGTCATTTCCCTTTCCTTCCCTTCTCTTTCMTTTCTTTCTTTTTCATTCGTTTTTCATTCATTTTTTCTTTCTTTTCTTTTCTTTCGTTACACGTTTTCCTTTCCTTTTCCTTTTTCCTTTTCGTTCTTTCTGGATTTGCGGTGAAAAGTAGCCCTCTCTTTCCTAACTGAAAAAAAAGGGGGAGAAGAAGCGGGAAATTCCCCCCTCCCCTTCCTCCCCGCTGAACAGTCGTCATAGTTAGCATTCATTTGTTTAATTACTGGGGGGAGGGTAGGGAGTGTGTGATGGTGGTCATTTAGTAGAAGAGGAACTAAAATCACTATGATCGACAATAACAGAGGAAACAATAGCAATAAGTAATATCAGAACGCAATTACTGTACTTTGTGGAAAAAAATCGGCTCTGACTTTTTAAACCAGCAGACCTTTCTAGCTTGGACGTAATTTTTTCCCATATCAGACCACTTTTCATTCCCTAGAATATCATTTCTTTGTTTAACGGTTGCTCTTGAGAAGACACATGAATATGGATACAACTGAAACAAATAATCTTATCCTCAAGAGAATGACACGTTGTCTAAAGTGGGAAAAAACTTAACACACAAGCTAAAAGTTCCACTAACTTTCGTGTCTCAATAAACCAAATTTTAAACATTAATTTTAAAAATATAATAAACTGAATAAATCATTTTGCCTAAATATAAACAATTTACTCATCTAAGGTTAAGCCAGCCTGTCATTCCTTTGCTAGACTCGTTTAAAATAAATTTAGTTATCACCTAAATTGTACTTAATATATAAACATTTTTCGCTGCCGTCCATCAAAAGGACATCATTAGATTGTCAAAAAGGTCCTGTAATTTGCCAATCGCAGTAAAACAAAGAAAAAGAAGAATGTAGAGAACTAATTTTCTAATGTGCGCTTTCGTCACTTTTGTCAAAATACTGCTGTTTCTTCAATAGACCGAGATCCAAATTACCGCTGTCTTCCTTGACTACAGACTCATTTACTCAGGCTTAGCCTCGTATCAGTGTCTAAATATTCACAAATAACAACGGTAAAGTAAAGAATGCACTAATTGACTCTAACTTCACTACGCCGTATTTATTTCTAAATCTAATACTCCCTTGAAGTAATCACATGAGAATCGTGATATTTCTTATATGGCTTCTGTTTTAATCCAATCAAAAGCAAGCAACCAAATCATGACCAGCCAATCACGAGCCTTTAACATGCAAACCACAGAAAACCACTTGACAGCCAAATCCTTTGTTTATTTCTCTTACAAAATCTGCTACACCGCACACGTGACCACGGCATGCTAATTTCTTTGTCTATACGTCATCTCATTACCATATAATCACGTGACAGGAATTATTAGTCCAGGATCTCGTGGTTCARTATACTTTTTCATCTGCTTTTCTCCTTCAACCCGCACGCAACTTAATCTGTTCTAAATTACTTTTCAGAATCTAAAGAGCTACAGAGACTCGACTGGACTTCAAACTAAAAGCTAAATCATAAAACGTTAGTTCAAAATAACATTAGACGACTAGAAGTTAAACTAGATTGAACTGTGTCCGTGTAAAGTGGGGGTAAAGAGATGGATGGGAATTTTTACACCGTTAAGTAAAAAAAAAGGAAGGGAGGGAAAACATGAGAATATCCTTGGGGTTTCCTCTTGTCCTTCCTCTTCCCGAATCCTCTTTCCTCTTGTCCTTCCTCTTCCCGAATCCTCTTTCCTCTTGTCCTTCCTTCTCCTTTTCCCCTCCCTTGCCGTCCCTCCCTCCCTCCCTTTCTCTCTTTMTCTCTCTCTCTCTCTCTTTCTCTCTCTTTCCCTCTCTCTTTCCTTTCTTCCTCTTTCAATCTCTATTTCTTTTTTTTCTTCTATTTTTACTTTACGGTGTTAAACGTACCACTACTTACCCACATCACACTAAATCCATCACCAATATAATAAACCACAATCATATAAACCAACATAAACCTGTCATAAACTAAAACTAAACATATTAACTTTTACATAAAACCAAAAATAAACACCTTTAATTAAAGACATTAATTAAACTTGGAAAACTGCTATGCCTAAATAACTGATTCACTATTATAAAACTAAGCTCACGTAAACCTTCTCAATTATAAAAATGGGTTTTTTAAATGAAAGAAATTTAAATATTAAATCTATAAATAATAATTTATTAAGTTATGTTTATGAATTTATAAATAAATATTTCATTAATAATTTATTAAATTTCAATAATTTAATAAATTAACTATAAAAAGTATTTTTTCAATAGTCCCTTTCACAGTTACCTGCGCCATCTTGAAAGGTAGCCGTGCCTTTGCATCGAAGCCAGACGAACGGTGAGCTTGCAATGATAGAGACCTTTTTTAACAGCTTGGACAATTATTCACGTGTCTCTATCATTGCAAGCTCACCGTTCGTCTCGCTTCGATGAAAAGGCACGGCTACGTTTCAAGATGGCGCAGGGAACTGTGAAGAGGACTATTAAGGTTCTAAAACAATTTTATTTTGTTGCTAGTGGCAACTATTGTTATTGACCTGAATATTGTTATTTGTGTTAGGTTGGGGTGTATTTCTATGACGGGGGATGTGGAACGCTAGAAGAAAACGAGATATTCAACCATAAATACTCTGGAATACAGATACGGTAAGACTTTAAGGAAAAAATATTGGTTTTTTATGTTTTATCCACGCTTGACATTTAGCAATTATTCGCCGAAGGCGAAGTGAATATCGGGGAATATTTACCGAGACGCGAGTAATTGAAATTGTAGCAAAACGATTGCCGGCAGATGCCATTTTGTTGCCGACTCAATATTCCGAGATTCAGAGGTGAATATCGTATAATATTCACCTCCAATTAAGCAATGAGCGCGCGCGTTCTTAGGAAGTACACAGGTTGGTATATGCTAAATTCCTAATATACCATTTGTAGCACGTCAGAATGAAGCTCAATTTAGAGGACATAATAGGGTTTCCAATTCTCAGGAGATTGAAATTTATTTGTTTGGTACTCAGAATTGAGCTGCTTTGACGTCACATGCAAGGAGTCTATAGACCCCTTGCATTAAATTCCTAAAGGAGTTGTTCTGGGGGACAAACAATAGGCCGTCTTTTCTTATGCAAAAAAATCCATTGTTTTGTCCCCCAGAACAATTCCTCTAGGGACTCAGTGCAAGGGGCCTATAGACAACGTTAGGTTTATTCAATTTTATTGAACAATGGTGTTGTTTTTTTATTACAGACCATTTGTCATCATAATAATGATAATAATTTTAATACTTATAACGCGCATTTTTCATGATGAAATGATCAAGTGCGCATTCTCTTGAGAATAAGATTCTTTGTTTTAGAGGTCTATTTAATAAGCATTTTGATGTATTTTTCGTTTCAGTTCAAACAGCAATCCCTTAATTCGACGAAACAAAATATGGGGAGGACAAAACGGTGGTGTTCTCGTCTACAACGAAGGTGAATATGCTTGCGATTGAGCCACCGGTACATTATGTACGCAAGCTGAGAGGTGATTGCGGCGCGCAAAGCATGAGTGGACAAAATAAATACGAAAAAAAAATCATTTCATCTTTCCCATCCATTATGAGATTTTATGTTTGTTTGTGTATGTTTGTTTTATTCTAATAAATGTTCTTTGATGTGCTTGATTACAGGAATGGGTTTACTCGAGGAGAACGAAATTTTCGATAACGCAATGGCCGGTGTGTGGATCAAGACTGACAGCAATCCTGTACTGAGGAAGAATAAGATTCATGATGGACGTGAAGGGGGTGTCTGTATCTTTAACGGTGGAAAAGGTAGGTTTCTTACATTCGTGGGTCACATGTGGTAGGACTGAAAAGAGATTTTCTTAGAAAATGTCTAACATTCCATAGTCCTGTCCTTGCCTTTGCCTCTGCCTCTGCCTCTGCCTCTGCCTCTGCCTCTGCCTCTGCCTCTGCCT